AAGACGCCACTCAGAAACCTTTCTGATGCCAACAGGACACTTTTGGGATTGGTGAGGAACCAAAGGTTTGGGATGGCCGTGGGCAAGCTAGGGAGAGCCGCTGGTGGGGTTGTGGGAACCCCACGTTTCAGATCAGAACTGGGATCTGCGTGGTTTTCCCATGTCTGTGGCCTTAACAGGAGGAGCCCCCTGGGTGGTCAAGTAGTTAACAACCCACAAAGGAGAGCTTGGTGGTTTGAATACCCCCAGTGGGACCACCCCGCATACCCACATCTGATGGGTCCCGAGAGCTGAGAAGGTCTAAGCAGTGGGCCGTATTGCCTTTGAGGATTGACATCCTGTTCTTTTTATGAGGCTGTCTTATGCACTCTATGGCCAGTGGAAAGGTCGGATGTTCACACCCACCCCCATGGTGGGTGCCGTGAAAGAAAGGCCTGGTGATCTGCATCCCTATAGACCACAGCCAAGACCCCCATGGAGCAGCTCTGCTCGGTAATACATGGGTAACAGTGAGTGGGAATCCACTCTGTACGGCCCTGAAGGGGTCTCTGAGCCCACCCCACTTCCACAGAGATCCCCTGGACTCAGTGGAGACACTGGGGAAGGACTTCAAACAAGGCTCCCCCGCCCAGTAAGGAGGCCTCTGAATGTCTTTATCTTCTAGTGCTGTTGACCCCCAAATGCCAAATTCTGTTTAAACAGAAACTTATTTTCAAACAGTTCTGGAAGCTAACCCTCCAAACCAGGGTCTCATCCAGGTTAGTCCCTGCCTTGTGGGAAGCCCAGCATTCCTTGGCGATCCTCACACGGCATCTGTCATGCTTCCCCTGGACGCGCCCTTGTCTGGTCTAATCTGCTCATTTTCTAACTCAGAAGGAATTGGGTTTAAGATCCACCGCATTGGCCACATGCCAGCAGGTTACCTTATGAGAGTTTATTGCATTATACGATGGGGCTTCGGCAAGGCTCTTGGAGCAAGGGAGTTCAAAGACAATCGAATTTCCCCACAAACCACTGGAAGCCCTCTGACATCACATGGAAGAACCCTGGCAGTGTAGTTGGCACCCACTGAGCTGCCAACCACCAGGTGAGCAGTGCAAACCTACCAGACACTCACAGGGGAAGGAGGACGCTGTCCACTCCTGTAAAGACTTTGAGTCTCAGAAACACCCTGTCTGATAGTGTTGCCATGAGTTAAAGTCAACTCAACGGCAGTCAGAGTTGAGTCAGAGTTCATCACATTCATGGACGGGGATCACATCCCATGCTGTTACATCTCCTTCATTAAGGAAGGCCATTATGTTGTATTATGTTATATCACACGACACGACATTAGATTACATTAGATTACAGACAGTGATTACATCACATTCCACCAGGGGGTACCCCTCCAAAAATAACCCAGACATTTTTTTATGTATTAATTTTTTTTACAAAACAACCTTAGCCCTTTCAAAGTACTCTCCATTACACTTAATACCTTTGTCAGATCTGTGATTCCATTCTTGGAAACATTTTTCAAACTCATCTGTTTGGATGACTGAGAGCACGCACCTCCCTTGTTTTTTTCTTCATCTTTTTTTTTAATTAATCATTTTATTGGGGAACTCTTACAAATCTTATAACAATCCATCATTCGATAGTATTAAGCACACCTGTGCATATGTTGCCATCAACATTTCCAAAACAATTTCTTTCTACTTGAGCCCTTGGTATCAGCACCTCTTTTTCTCCCCTCCCTACCCCACCCTCCACCCTCATGAATCCTTGATCAATTATATATTATTATTGTTATTTTGAATCTTACACTACGCTGTCCGTTGTCTCCTTTCACCTACCTTTCTGTTATTCATCCCCCTGGGGGGTGGTATATATCCAACCTTCAGATGGGCTCCCCCTTTCTCCCCCATGATATTGCTACTCCCACTACTGTTCCTGTCCTGAATTCCATGTGTCGAGAGCTCTTATCTGTACCAATGTGTGTACTCCAGTCTAGGCAGATTTGTAAGGTAGAACTGGGTCATGGTAGTGAGGGGGGAAGCGGGGGAAGCATCCTGAGACCAGAGGAATGATGTGTGATTTGTCAGTGCTATACTGCACTCTGGTTAAATCATCCCTTCCTTGTAACGCATCTTTGGTGGTATGTCCAGTAGTCTACAGATGGGCTTTGGGTCTCCACTCCAACTCCCCTCTTTCATATCCATATAATTGTTTTGGATCTTTTGATACCTGAGACCTGCTCCTGATGACACCTCATGATCACACAGGTTGGTGTGCTTCTTCCATGTGGGTTTATTTGCTTCCGTGCTAGATGGCTGCTTGTTTAACTTCAAGCCTTTAAGACCCCAGCTGCTACATCTTTTGATAGTCAGGCACCATCTGTTTTCTTCGCCACATTTGCTCATGCACCCATTTGTCTTCAGGGATCATGTCGGTGAGTATCAAAGAGTGCCAGGTTATTAGAACAAAGTGTTCTTGTGTTAAGGGGGGCCTTGAGTGGAGGCCCAAAGTTCTTCTGCCATCTTAATATTTAACATATAAATATATGTACATTGGCCTCTATCCTTTCCTTGTAAATTAGTATATCTGCATATATATAGATGCCTATAGCTATATCTTTATAAATGGATTTTGCTTCCTACTTCTTTCTTCTGTTTCCTTTCACCTTGCTCCTATCCCACTATCATGCTCACCCTCCATCCGGTTCTCAGTAATTCATCCTGGATACATTGCACTTGATCAAACCCCACCAGGCATGATACGCCCTCTTTGCCATCGATTTTAGATCTCTTGTTGTTCCCTTATCCCTGAGTTTGTTGGCTCCTCACTCCCCCTCCCTGCTCCCTCCTCTCCCATGTCCCCCCAGAACTGCCAGTCCCGTTGTTTTTTCCTCAAGATTGTTCATTCTGCCTGTCTTATATACATAGACATCGTGTAAAAGAGAAACAAAAACAAGCAAACAAACAAAACCCCAATAGATAGTTCCAGGTCTGTCTGCTGACCCTTATGTATATGTTCCAATCGAGTCTGACGAGGTCCAAGCCATGTCCCCCGGGTCAGAAGTCTATTTTCAGGATTCCTCAGGGACTTGGGGACTTTGCTCCCTTGCTGCCCTGCTGGACTTCCTTCACATTTCACCCCGCTGTGCGTGGGGAAAACTGGGCACAGTGTCTCGAGTGCTGCCTCCTGGTGCTATGGGTCAGTGAAGGAACATAGGTCTCATGGTGGGGCTGGCCCTGTGGTCCTCTCTGTGCATTGGCTGCTCTGAACAGGGATGTCTTCCCCGGGACTTGGTGGGCCATGTTGAGGTTCTCTCTCTCTCTCTCTCTCTCCCTTCCTCCCTCCCTCCTACTTCACTTCCGTATGGTCTGGACAGACCCGCCTCTCTCCCCAGGATATACCTTCAGCGCTGTCCTCTGTATTGCCTTCATCTGAGGAGGAGGTCAGCATAGCTCGGCGTGGGCCCAGTCCTGTCATTCTCTGTTAGTTCGCTTCTCCATGCCAGTATGCTGCCCTCAAGGCTTGGTGCTCTGGGCCGGGGTCTGGTCCCTCTCTCCCTTTCCTGTGGAGGCATAAGCAATACCCTCCCTGTGGGTGTATTAGTTCCCTGTTCCCCCATCACCCTCGTTTTTTGTTTTCTCAAGGGTCGCCCCGCCCCCTGCTCTTTTCCCCTCGTTTTTAGTTGGCTGCCATATGCATCTCTGAGTTGGGTCAGACCCCGGCCAACGTGCCTGGACCCAGGATGTATGCATTGAGTAACTTATCCTCTATGCCCACTGTACGTTTTGAGCATACCTCAGTGGACTCATATTGTACGTGTCCCTTTGCACTTGGCTAACTTCACTTAGAAGAACTTCCTCCAACGCGTCCCAGGAGCTAGCGTGCTTCATGCATTCATCGCAGCTTTCTAGTGCTGCCGAGTACTCCGTTGCATGTACTGTATGTACCAGGGTTTTCTAATCCATCGTCAGTGGAAGGAAATGTAGATTGTTTCCAGGTCTTCGCAATTGTCTTCACCTCTTCTGCATCATCAAATCGCTGTCCTTTCCCGTCTTCACCTCTTTTACATCATTTGATCACTGTCCTTTCGTGTCCCTCTTCATTTGCTGAAACAGAAAGGCACAGAAGGGCATGAGGCACGAGAGGCATGCTGTTTTTGCCAAAAACTGGCGCACTGAGACGGCTGTGGGAGCAGGTGCATTGTTGTGATGGCAAAACCAGTCCCCCGTCTGCCACAAATCAGGCCTTTTTTGTCACACACTGTTATGACATCTTTTCAGAACCTCGGACCTAGTGGAAGGAACTCCAAATGCACTAGTCCCCTCACATCAAAAAAACAAATGAGCATCGATTTTCTTTTGTAGGATACCCCCTCGTGTTACATAACCTTCATTAAGCAAAGTCGTTATGTTGTATTATGTTATATGAGATCACACGGCATTCCATTCCATTCTGGAAAGTGACTACATTACATAACCTTATATTATGGAAGACTGACATAATATGCTGTGACGTCACATTCCATATTATACCACATTGCATTGCAGTATTTTAGAGAGAGTGATTACATCGCATAATGTTAGCGTAGACCAGGCTCTACCTTCCATGGGGGTCCACAGGAGCAATTGTATGCTTATAATCTATAAAGATCACACTAAAGTCAATGAAGATAGGGGAGGTAGAAGAGAGTAAAATCGAGGAGTCAGACACCTTTTACGGTAGCATGCTCACCTCCGGGATAGTCTCGATCTCAGCAGCCAGGTCCGAGCAGAGAGCGGGAAGAGGAGGAGGAGGGAGGAGAGAGCGTCTGCTCTTATTTCTGACCAAGGCCTAGATATCCTTAGGGGTGTGATTACAGGTAACCACACAGGTCACAGGAAGGGGCTGTACAATAGGCATGTGCATCACAGGAAGGGGATGAGCTAGGGGTGCACACATAATAGAAAGGGGAGGGATTAGGGGTACACATGTGACAAGATGGACAGACCCTAGACTCAAGATGGCAGCCTACCCTTGGTCATCCTCTAGTGGGCTCCACCTCGCCTCTGGGCTCTCCTTCAGGGCGGCAACCAAGTACCCTTATCAGAAGGGAGTGGGCCCTACTTAAGGTGGGACAGACCACAGAGTCTGATTGCTCTAGATCAGTGGTTCTCAACTTTCCTAATGCCTCGACCCTTTAATACAGTTCCTCACGTGGTAGGGACCCCCCAACTATAAAATGTTTTTTTTGTTGCTACTTCATAACTGTAATCTTGGTACTGTTATGAATTGGCGACCCCTGTGAAAGGGTCATTTGACCTCCAAAAGGGTCATGACCCACAGGTTGAGAACTGCTGCTCTAGATGGTTGATAACCAGGGAGGTCAACCTCTAGGCAGCTTGCATTGACCTCGAAGTGTACGTCATTTACCATGCGTAGCAAGCAGTGTCTTAGGTTTGGCATATATTTGGGGGAGATAATCTGGGGAAATACCCTTTTGTGTCCCCCAGCATAACACTGTATTATGTAAGGTTATTCTCTTACGTTACATTATATTACATTGCAGTACACCTCATCCATCACATCAATAGGCATATCTTGGGTGGACACATTTCCCCACAAAGTCTGCCAGGCAATGCCTGTCCCTGCTAAGGTCAGACCTGAGACCTGAGAGACCATGCATAGGATTTGGGCTTCGCTTGGACACCACTCAAGTGGCAGGGTGAGAACAGGAGGGAATGAACAGAAAAGTCATTGAACGATAGACGGCCCCGTGTGCTCTTTCCCACTGCCCCCCAGAAAGGGAGACTGAACTGCGACCCTACCTTCGAACTCGAAGAGATGATTCTAGA